TTATGTGCCTAGTGTTATGTTACATCAAGTTATGTAGTATGTGCCTAGTGTTATGTTACATCAAGTTATGTATTGTGTGTCTAGTGTTATGTTACATCAAGTTATGTATTGTGTGTCTAGTGTTATGTTACATCAAGTTATGTAGTATGTACCTAAGTATTATGTTACATCAAGTTATGTGGTATGTACTCAGTGTCAGATTACATAAAAGTTATGTTGTATGTACCCAGTGTTATTTTACATCAATTTAAGTTGTATGTACCCTATATGAGATACCAACCTAGTAGGGCCATTCGACTAAACACAACACCGGGTCCACCCATACAAAAATTACATCCATTAAGCCCGAGTTGATGTCTAACTTCAGGTAAACCATATCCAGGCTGCCCAATGTATACCTAAAAAATGAAATATATTATCATACATGTTGGAGTGTCTCCACAAGTCAGTGTGGTGTATTGGTGCAGTATCTTCACGATAATTATGCAATATTTCCAAGATGGCAGCCATGCTGTGACAAGAAACTTCATAGCGAGACATTGTCTTTAATTCTTCATCAGTTGTGTACTTTATATACAAGATATTGCGAAGTATGATTAATACACACTTCAACTGTTTTCAAGCATTTATAATATCACTAATATTCAGCTATGTATATAATCTTAAATACATTTAGAGTTAGTTATCATTGTCTTAAAATTGAAACTGACAGACATAAACAGATTGCAGTTAATTCTAGAACATGTGACCAATGTATACAAACAAAGTTGAAAATGAAAAACACTTTGTTATGAATTGTCCAGCATATAGGGCACATTAATAAAGCAGAAATTCATATAAATAATTTTAGAACCAGTAGTAAGCAGTTCATTAAGACCAGTCTTGATACCAGTGACTGTGTCTTGAATGAGTTTGGAACTTTGTGTTTTTTGTTTTTTTCTTATTATTTTTGTTATGTACATGTATGACCATTTTTATCTTCTCTGGGAGATTATGGGTTAATAAATATTATTATTATTAACAAATGTATATTATTTAAAATAAAGTGAAGAAATAAAAGTTTTGTATAATCAAAATGCATCAATGGGTTTGTGCGAGTACCGCACATAGTTGGATATACAGGATTGATCCAAACACTGAATACCTTCATGACTTCATGGCATCAATCAACTACCAACGTGTAAATGTTCTCATATAACAACTTATATCACTAAAACCTATATGTACAACAGAATGTGAATGCTTCCTACTGACAAAGATGATTCACACTTCAATCAATAAAAGTACATCTTCTAAATTCTGTGCTATTAACACATTACGTGGTGAAAGCCTTCATGTATAGCCAAAATGAATGTGAAAAATTAAATGGCATTAGCAGCAGATGGATTTGCACAAATATGCTGGATTCATTGTATTGAAAGCAATATTCAGAACAATTGGTCAATTTATTGTATTGACAGAATCTGGTAAATGACTTCTACAGTCAGTGCTAGTAGACATTGATACACCTTTTTACAGTGTCTGCAACGGCAATTGACGGCAATTGACTGATGCTCACATTCCTTCTGCTCTTAGCTAACATTTGGTCTTCGGAGTCATTTCTTAGCATTGAGGAACATTATACACATATCTTTTTACTGTGGTATATATTCCAAACATTAAACACCTACCTTTTTACTGTGGTCAATTCCTTGTAAAAAATGTAATAATTCATCCACTTTAATATAAACATCGTCATCTGCTCGAACAAACCAATTATAATCATTTATATGATTCTGACAAATATATTCCAACATTCTGAATGCCTTCAGCTGTGGAGGATATACATTATCGTCAACACCGGGTAAGTTGACTATCGGTAGATGATATGTATTCCAGTCACCGGTGGCACTAAAGAACTCCAGTTTAGACACACTTTGTCCCCATGTTCTGTTACATGCAGTAGCTCGTGTTGATAGAAATTTCCCCGCTGAGAGACACCAATATAAAGTGG